AGCGTGTTCACCAATATCAGACCATAATCTGTTCCCTCTATATGTTTCTTTTGCTGCCTTGGTTTTTATTTCTCTTGTTTTTTTTTTGTAAAATAACTACACAGAGGCCGCCACCAAGTCACCCTTTACTTACATGTGCATAGTACTTGACACTGGTCTGGCTTCCTCAGTTCTCAGAGTGAACAGAACCTCTGACACTCCTGTCATGGCTCCCTGATTGGACCAGGATAACAGCCCCAATCAGGGAATTCATATTCTATGATGTCCACCTGGCTGACCTCATTACAAAGCTGCACTCTGCTTTACTTTTGGACTCATGATTCTGTTATTCACAATTCTTTCAGACAAATCTTGGCTTCTCATTCTGAATTTTTGTGTCATTTCTTCTGTGTTCTATCAGGTTGCAGACTTTCCTTTTTGTTCTTTTTCTCGCTGTCTGAACCTCTCCTCTTTCATTTCAAACCTACAATTTCTCTAACCTTTCCTAGATCTGATGAAAGGCCATTGGTCTGAGACACTGTCATGCTTTTTCACTGGAATTACATTGGTATTTACAATCCCAAATATGCTATATGTTTGTGATAAGAATCTTTGACTGTTACCATTCATGGGCTTACCAATACCACTTTTTGGAAAATGTATGAGGCCACTCTTGCATGGAATTTGACAGGTAATCTGATTCTGGGAGTAATCAGATAGGTTTGTCATTGACCATAGTGATAACTGGGTACACATTGCTCAATAACACATTATTAGCCTTTAAGGGTGTACTGTACTGCCACCTTTGGTCAGAGCATTCCAGCAGGGAGGCTACAGCCACAGGATTAACATTGAGTAGGAGCAATAGGACTAAAGGAAAGGCATAAAGAGTTTTCTGAAGAGGTAACCGAGAGAATGGATAAGGGTAGGGCAATGGTCGTTGTCTATGTGGACTTTAGGTACCACACAACAGACTAATCATGAAGCTTAGATCACATGGGATCCAGGATGAGCTAGCTAATTGGATTCAAAATCGGTTTGATGGTAGGAAACGGAGGGTGATGGTTGAAGGTTATTTCTTGGACAGGAGACCTGTGACTAGTGGTGTGCCACAGGGGTCGGTGTTGGGATCTTTATTATTTGTTATTCACATAAATGATCTGGATGTGAATGTACAAGGCTTGATTAGTAAGTTTGCAGTTGATACAAAATTAGGAGGTGTTGTTATTAGTGAGGAAGATTATCAAAAATTACAGAGGGATCTTCATGAAATGGGGATGTGGGTTGAGGATTGGCAAATGCAATTCAATACAGATAAGTGTGAGGTGTTGCACTTTGGAAAGTCAAGCCAAGGTAGGACTTATACAGTAAATGATAAGATCCTAAGGAGTGTTGTGGAATAGAAGGACCCAGGAGTACAAGTGCATAGTTCATTGAAAGCAGCGTCACAGGTAGACACGGTGGTGAAGAAGGCATTTAGCTTGCTGGCCTTCATTGGTCGAGGCATTGAGTATAGGAGTTGGGATGTTACGTTAGTTATATAAGTTGTTGGTGAGGCCGCAACTGGACTATTGTGTATAGTTTTGATCATCCTGTTATAGGAAAGACATAGTTAAACTGGAAAGTGTGTAAAGAAGGTTTATGAGGATGTTGCCAGGACTTGTCGGTCTGAGTTATAGGGAAGGTTAGCCAGGATAGGACTTTATTCCTCAGAATGTAGGAGAATGAGGGGTGACCTTATTGACGTGTATAAAATCATGAGGGGCATAGACAGGATGAATGTGTATAGTCTTTTTCCGAGGAATGGGGAATTGAAAACTAGAGGGCATAGGCTTAAGGTGAGAGGGGAAAGATCTAAGAAGCAGAGAGTGGAGCGTATATGAAATGCGCTGCTAGAGAAAGCGGTTGAGGCAGGTACAATAGCAACATTTAAAAAACATTTGGATAGGTACATGGATGGGAGAGGTTTGGAGGGAATATGGGCAATTGGAAGTAGCTGAGTGGGCACCATGGTCAGCATGGACCAGTTTGGGCCAAAGGGCCTGTTTCCATATTATGTTACTCTGTGACTCTATGACTCTTGGCCCTCCTTTGTGTTGCCTGTACTCATTCTGCCCTATCATTCTGCTGGATAACAGGGGCTACACCCATGACTGCAAGCAAACAGACTGAAACTCTAAAGTCAGAATCAAGGCTTTAAGCCCATTTCACATCATTCTCTGTAGACTGCAGCAACTTTAAATAGCCCAGTAGCCACTTCTACAAACTCAGCAATAAGTGGTGCCTGAATTTTAGGTCCTACTATGGTCCAACAAAGATTCTGTGTATAATTTTAACATATTTTAACAGATTTCCATTTTATTTCTTCAGATACTAACCCAGTGATTTTTGTTTGTATTGTGATGGCCTCATTAATCTATATTGCTACTTTTAGTGATTATTGATCACAATCCCCCACTATCAACATCCTGGGGTTACCATTGACCAGAAGCTGAACTGAACTAGTCATACAAATGAAATGGCCACAAGAGCAGATCACAGGCTAGGAATCCCATAGCAAAGAACTCACTTCCTGACCTCCCCAAAGCCTGCCCGCCATCTGCACTGTACAAGTCAGGAGTGTGATGGAATATTGCCCACTTGCCTGGATGAGTGCAGCACCAACAATACTCAAGAAGTTTGACATCATTGAGGACAAGGTAGCTTGACTGATTGACAATGCATCCACAAAGATTCACTCCCTCCATCACCAACACTCAGTAGCAGCAATGTATACCAACCACAAGATGCACTCCAAAAATCCTCCCAGGCTCCTTCCACAGCACCTTCCAAGCCCATGACCATTACCATCAAGAAGGATGAGTGTAGCAGACACATACCACACTCTGCAAGATCCCTTCCAAACCACTTGCTACCCTGACTTGGAAGTACATCACCGTTCCCTCACAGTCGCCGGGTCAAAATCTTGGAACTCCTTCCCTCAAGGCATTGTGGGTCAACCTACAGCATGTGGACTGCAGTTGTTCAAGAAGGCAGCTCACCACCAGCTTTTTGAGGGAATCTAGGGACGGCCAACAAATGCTGGCCAGCCGGCAATGCCCACATCCTGTGAGTGAATAGAAAATAAAAATTCCTTAGCTCCTTGTATCTTTCTTAGGCTATTATTGTGCAAGAATTACATGGCGTTGTTATTCCTGCTATCATAACGGACAGCTTTGTGTTTCATTGCTTTGAGATTCATTTACCATCAACATTCCCACTTTGTATGTTTATGAACATCTTTTATTATCTCGATTCATATGAGCACTCATATTATTGAAACTTTTCACATTGTCTTTAATTGGGACCTGACCAGCAAGAGGCAGCAAACTGATTTGAAACTCCTGATGTTTTTGACTCAAGTCAGGACAGTTAATGATATAAGGAAATAGTTCAGTCGGTTCCTGGCACAAGAACATCCAGTTGGTTTTGAAGCATCGGTATTCAGTCAATGAAAACACCACATTTGCCATAAGCATGCCAAAACTTGTTTCATTTATTTATTGATTTTCTCCTTTTCTTGCTGACATCCATTTCTATAGAAGATAGTGCACTTTCCTGTTGTTCAACCAAGCAGCCATTGTATAAATAAAGATATGCACATATTAGATAACAAGGTGTAGAGCTGGATGAACACAGCAGACCAAGCAGAATCAGAGGAGCAGGAAATTCTGAAGAAGGGTCTAGACCCGAAATGTCAGCTTTCCTGCTCCTCTGATGCTGCTTGGCCTGCTGTGTTCATCCAGCTCTACACCTTATTATCTCAGATTCTCCAGCATCAGCAGTTCCTACTATCTCTATGCACATATTAGTTATGTTCTAATGCCAGCCGATGTGATTGCTGGTCAAGTCAGATCACAAACTGAAATTTGCTTTGATATACCATATTGTCTTTTAAATTAACAAGGTTGTCTTTCACTGGAAAACAAGCATAGGCTGCTGCAGATCTGGTTTTAACAATAAAACAAAAGTTTGTAATGCAAAAGAAAAGATAAAATAGAACAAACAAAGTTATTTACATATAACAATTTGTATGATTTTAAAACACACAGCAAAATACAATATTCCATCTATCCCAGCAGCATCACTTTACAGTTCTCAAAAACTATAGTGAGTTGCCTTCTCTATCACAACTATAAATTTATTTGTAACTTTCAATTTTTGGTATTGAAAATTTAGTAGTCTCTTTCTTGAGTTCTTACACCACTGAGTTTAGTCTTTCTGTGCTACTTCAGGGTTTTAACCAGACCATTGTGGTCTGGAGCTAAAAAACTAAAATCCTTACACTAACGTAACTTATATCCTAACCAGAACCACCTCCTTTCTCTAGGTGCAAATGTTTCATGCATCTAACTTCAGCCAGAACTTCTGCAAACTAAAACCAAAAGCTTTCCAGGCTCTGTGTTTTACCCCTAAGCAAAAAGAAAAATCAATTTCTGATCATCCCAACTGAAAGTAAGCAAATGTTGTTCAATTTACACTGTCCTCTTGGAAAATTCTCTCACTGCAAACAAGTTCCCCATACCACTCAAGGAAGTCTCTCTCTCTCATACTTTTTACAAAAAAATACATGACTTCAGAAATACTGACAAGTTAATCATTAAACCAACTCATACATACAGACAAAAATCCATGTGCAATTGGTTTAAAATCTAAACTCTAAAATAAATAATATATAATTAAATAAATTACACACTTTGCACCACAGCAGCAAGCAACCAGTTATAGCTTGTTTCACTGCATAGCCAGTATGTCTGAGTGAAATCTCATCAGTAGCTAATGATTAACCAAATTCATTTCTAGGAAAAGTCCCAAAATGCCAAGCAGATGTGGTTTGACATTAACCTGTATAACTTCAGGAGAACAATATGGACTGTACCTCAGAATGAAGAGAGGAGAGAATATATAGCTGAATAAACTGTATAATCTGTTCAGTAGAAAGTTTAACATGACAAAACTTAACACTTTATTTTACTTTTCAGCTTTCCATTCTGCTGGTAACACAGCTGATTGATCACATACAAATGGAATCCTTCCTTATCCCTGTCTACCAGCATTGGGATGATGAATTGGCTCAGTATCACATATGTGAGCAATGCCCTCCTGGTACCTACAGAAAGACACACTGCAATGTAGAAAAGAGGACTGAATGTGCATCTTGTCCTGATTCACATTACACAGAATATTGGAATTACCTGGATGAATGTCAATATTGCAACATGTTTTGCAAAGAATATCAGCATGTTAAACACGAATGCAATAGCACTCGCAACCGTGTCTGTGAATGTATCGAAGGTCACTACTTTGAATTTGAGTTTTGCCTAAAGCACTATAAATGCCCACCAGGATTTGGTGTAAAGAGGCTTGGTAAGCAATATATTAGTATTTAGAATTATACCATGCAAAATATTCAATTTTTTAGCTTGTTTTTGTTGCTGGTTAAAATATATTTTAATTCCAAACTCCCCATTCAGATTGTTGCCATGTAATATTTTTCTGTTGGGATAAAAATATTCTGAGTCACACAAGATTGTCATTACTACCGTCAAAATTACGCTATTAGCACATGCTATGACTCAGAAGGGCTAAGCTGTCCTTAACAAGATTGTTTCCATCTCCCCTCTCCCACCTTTGCCAGACTCACACCCTCATTCAACTCCATTAGAAATTGTTTGCCAATGCTGTTTCTAACAGTGGTGTTTGAACTGAATAGACCAGTGCACAGGGGGAAGAAAATGGGTGGAAGATGTGGGAAGACTGACTCTCGATACGCTGACTCTTCTCTGGAAGTCATATTGAACGTGGTGAGGGGCTGAATGGATGCCATCCATCCTGGAGAAAGAGAGCAAGAGATCAACTCTAGAACTGAAGCAGACTTGCTTGGAATTTGTAGAGGCTGTGAGCAGCAGGAGTATGATGCTAACAATCTGGAGTTGGCACCAAAACTGTTTAATCATCTTATTAGGTCAGGAAAGGTGAGTGACATATCATTTCCAGACCCTCACTCTCTGACCTCGTGCTCAGAACTCCTCTGACAGACACACCTGGCAGTTCCATGATTTATTTCTTTTCTCCAGCAACCTGCTCAAATCTCCATCTGAGCCAGCAACATTCATGCTCACCTAATGATCTCTGATACCCATCCCTCACGGTCACCATCCAGCAAAGTATTCATTCCATCCTCTCCACTTCTCGCACTTGTATCACTTTTCCTTCTCTCATTGCAGAGGAACAGCTGATGATTCCAGGGAGAGGTGGAAGGCCAGTGCTGGACCTGCAGCAGTTGCCACCAGGACTGTATTAGAGGAGGATGCACTGGAAATTAGCAGAGTGGCAAACAAACTTGACATCTGTGATGGAGAGATGGTGATGACCCAGAGAGCTGGTGATAGCATTAGAAGATGCACTGTCACTTGCCACTTACCTGTCACACAGATTGAATTGGTGTCATCACTAACTAAATTGTCATGATATACACTATGTTGAAATTGTGGTTATCTCAATACCAGCACCAACTCATGCTCTTCATCTCCCACAGGTTCCTAAGTGTGGCAGAGGAAATGATCTTGGACTAACCTGAGGAGTCTTCAGATGATGTCAGGCACTCTGAGCATTCACTGTCACATGACTCATTTGTGTCTGCCACCTGATACACACTCAGATTGGTGGTTCCTGCTTAATAGATAGGCAACCTGATGAGGACTGCACCATATGTGAGCAGGACAAGGTGCTGAAGACAAGGACATTGAGGAATGACCCCAGGACAATTCAAATTCTAATTGGCTGGAGCAGCAAAGGGAAATGCGTGTGCCTCTGTCAGTATTTCCAGAGGCAGTGTGCACCTTTGGAGAGTGATTGGAAGAGTCCATCTCTAACATCAATTCCGTGATCTCTCTCATGTATTTGTGCTGTTTTTCACTTCTGTTGAAAGAGCATCCACCAGCGTGGGGAATCAGCTGTGCCTGGTCATTGAGAGGATGCTGGCCCAGGCAATGGCCTGTATGCTCTGACTGTCACTTCACACAGGACGGAAGAATGTGTCATCTTGGAGGGTCAATGCTATTGCAGCTGAGTGCTCTCTGCTTCTTGACTATCAGAGAACAGCATGTGGATGATGAGAGGGAAGGTAAAAGAACTGGTGCAAGGCAATGGGGACTCTTCTCAAGGAATTCTCATTTCCCATCACTTGTGTCTCCCCCAACCCTGGACAGAATTACACACGTTGATGCCTGCCCTGGTGAACAACTCTGCCCCTGCACAGGGGCAGGTGGGACCATTGGCTGTTTCCAGAACCTACAGGCCATCTGCTACAGGCATCTCATGTCAGGCAGGAGCATTTGGAGCAGCTGCCTATGGTTCAACCGAAGCCAGAAAACTTTGCTGGTGTAGCAGTAACAGGGAGGTGGAAGAGGAAAACTGAAAGTCTGGCCCAGAATGATGGAATCATTTTTGGAGCTTGAACTCAACTTTCCAGGGCAAACCAATTAAAATTTACCACTGAGCTCTGTATCCTATTAGGGCCAGCAGGATCACTATCAAAGAAAGGTTTCTAATTGAAGAGCATAGGTAAGGAAAGCTCAGCAGAATTTTGATTTTTGAGGCAAAGCCAACCTCTGGAATAGAGAGGTCTGCAGGGATGGCTGCTTCTTGGCTCTCCCCTCTCTGAGGGGCTATCTTTCCATTCTTTTATGGGATGTGGTGCCAGTGGCTAGGATAGCATTTACTACCCATCCCTTATTGCCCCCTTTCCAGCTGGCTGTCTATCTCATTTGCTCCTCACCCTCAACATATTGAAAGCCGACAGCAGGGAAGTGCAGCTCAAAGTGAGTAAAGTGCTAGGCAGGCAAGATGCCTTACAAGAAGACGATTAGCTGACAAGCAATACAGACAGCCTCTGAGAGAGGAAGTGCTCTGAACAGCTGCGTCCCTCCTGACAGAGGCTTCAGTTCTTCAATGTAACTGATAAAAGCCTGTCAGCTTGACTGATATAGCTAATTTCACAAGGCCCACATTTTGATAAGTTACTAACAGGTCAGGAAATAGGTACAATGCTTGAAAAAGCTAGGAGTTACAGCTAAAGCAGCTTTTGGTTGGCTTTTTACCACCTCAATGATTCCTTAACTACTAATCCAAGGATTTTACCTATTCATCTTCAAAGACACCTCAGGGAGTGGCAGAAGAAAATGGGACCATTTGGGATCTTCCGCAACATCAGTTTCCAGAACTTTCTCGCACTACTTTAGTCTACACTAGCCCGTGACAGCCTGAGAAAATTCTATTCTTAAAAATAAAACGATAGTTGCGCAAAGGACCTGTTGTTGTTTGTCAGTCCCGAGTATGTAAGTCTGAACTTAATGCAATTGAAATGATGAACGTTTCCAGCCAGTCTGAATGTTTTAACTGATGGGCTAATTTAGATTAGTAGGTGCTTCAGCCAACCTCCTATCTCGGGGATAGGGGCACGACCACTGCACCACACGAGCCCCTTCTGGCTCCCCTTTAAATGCATCTATGTCATTCACATCAGCCATGGTGGGAAACTCTAACCACTCTGGCCAAGAAAAAAAGTTTCTCTGGAATTGCTCACTAGATTACTTAATTGATAAGAAATTTTGCCAGGATTACTGGATGCTACAGACTAATTCTATTACCGTTTTAAATATTGCCTAGTGAAGTCAGCTATTGAAGAAATTGTGGCTTGTTTTGTCTGTATGTTTATGACTTTCCAATTTCTTTCCAGGAACTCCATATTTCAATACAGAATGCATGAAGTGTCCAAAGGGCTTTTTCTCAATGAACAGGTCTGCCATCCAACCCTGTCAAAAGCACACAAACTGCACTGCACTTGGCTTGAAACAGATTCTCAGAGGAAATGCATTTCAAGATAATGTGTGCCAGTCATGTCAGGACAGTGAGGCACCAAACTCAGTGTGTTCTGACCTACTTTCAAGGAAAGGTAAATATATTTGTCTCCAGAGGCGTACATAAAACACCACTTCATAACATTTTATCTTACGGAAAGTATCATGATTAGAAATATTGACAACTAGTTTGAATCTCCATTTATTCAGAAGAAGTTAATGGCCGACTTAAATACCAAGTTGAGACATTCATTTAATTTAAAACCAATTAATCCAACATGAAGTATGTGGCATGGTCAATGAAATTTAATTTTTTTCATAGAATAGACTTTTCACAGAATCCGTACAGTGTGGAAACAGGCCCTTTGGCTCAACAAGTCCACACTGACCCATCCCCTATAACCCACCTAGACTCCACATCCTTGAACACTACGGGCAATTTAGCATGGCCAATCCACCTTTTTGTGAGTAAATTTGCAAGTCCACCATGATGCAGACTACTTACAGAAAATGCAAGCTATGCAATATGTGAACGCAAATTTGATTTCTATCAGAAGAGATTGGAGAACTACATTAGGGTGGGTCACCAAACTGGACATGCAATTTTTGTTTTGTCATAAAAGCATATTAGTCCAGAAAGACTCAAAAATTCATTAGCTTGATCTTTAACATGCTGCAGTTTAAAAAAAAAAGTCATGGGATGTAAGCATTGCTGGTTATATCAGTTTTTATTGTCTCTGTTTAATTATACCTGACAAGATGGTAGTGAGCTTCCTTCTTGATCCACTACAGTCCACTTGGTGTAGGTACACCCAAAATGCTGTTAACAAGGAATTGCTAGCATCTTGAGTCAGCAACACTAAAGGAATAGCAATATATTTTCAAGTCTGGATGGCGTGTGGCTTAGAGGTACACTTACTGTGATAGTGTGCCCATGTATCTGCTGCCCTATCCTTTTAGATGATAGAGGTCATGGGATTGGAAATTGCTCTCTAAAGGAACCTTAGTGAATTATTGCAGTGCATTCTGTAGCTAGTACCAGAGCCTGGAACAGGGGGCATATGTCAGGTTCTGGGGCTCTAGGGAGGCCACTGTGATCAGGTTGGGGGCTGGGGACTGAGATCAGTGGTAATACTGGGTTGGTGATTTCTTTTCCTGTCCCTTGATAGTACACATAATTGCCACTTTTCATTGAGGCTGGAGGGAGTGAATTTTGGAGGGGTTTGCTAGAATGCCAGTCAAATGGGCTGCTTTTTTTTCCCAGAGGATGTCAATTTCTTGAGTGTTTTTGGGGCAGCACTCACCTGGGCAAGTGGAAAATGTTCCATAGCAGCCTGATTTAGGTCTTGTAGATGGTGGACAGACTTTGAAGAGTCAGGAGGCCAGTTCACTCACTGCAGAATTTCCAGCTCTGACCTTCACTTGTAGTCACAGTATTTATATGGCTGGTCTAGTTCAGTTTCTTGTCAATGGTGGGTCCCATGATGTTGATTGTGATGGTATTACCATTGTCAAAGCAAGATGTTTGTATTCTCACTTGTTTGCGATCATGCATGGCACATATGAGGCGCAAACATTAATTACTGCTTACTAGTCCAAACCTAGAATATTGTTCAGGTCTTCAACACAGTCTACTTCATCATCAGTCGTGTAATTCCTCAGTCTAATCCATCTAACCTTTCCTCTTGATAGGGACATAAATTTAAGCGAAGGGCCAGAAGGTTTAGAGAAGATGTCAGGAAACACTTTTCACCCGGAAGGTGATGGGAATCTGGAAGTCTTTGCTTGGAGGGCCGATAGAGGCAGAAACCCTCATAACATTTAAAAAGTACTTAGATGTGCACTTGTGCTGCCAAGGCTATAGGCCAAGTGCTGGAAAATGGGTTACAGTAGTTAGCTGGCTGCTTTTGACTGGTGCAGAGTTGATGGGCTGAAGGGCCTCTCTCTATATGGTTGATATATATGACTCTAATTGAGCCACATTGTCCATTTTAACTTTGCCCCCTCTTCCTGGGTGTAAATAATGCACAGAAGTGGTTACGCTCGAAGAGTTAACTTACTAATCATTGATACTTCATTCCCACCTAATATGATTTTCTTTTTGCCAGTTTTCAAGTTGACTGTAGTCTTCACCATAGGTCTTTTGGGAGCAAACTGAAATGTATAAACTGTGGCCTGGCAATATAACTTTTCCTGCAATGTTATTTTGACAAGACGTCAAAGGTGGGTATTTCTTTTTATTCTTTTTTGCGCTAATGTCAACTGAAGATCCACTGCAGAATGGTAATGTGGTGAACACAGCTTTATGTGACTGACGTTTCAACCATGAAATTGATCAATAACATAATCTTGATAAGTTTTCTTATTTCCTATAGAAATTGCACTCTGTGACCAGGCAGCCTTTAAATTTATCGCTCGTCAGAAACTGACACTGAAACAGTTGAGAATGCTGTTGGAGAATCTGCCTGGGAAGAAAATAAGCACACAACATTTGGAAGGGGCTAGGTGGACAAGTTCAGGCCGGGTTCAAACCTTCCGACTTCTGAAACAATGGAAAGTTGCAAACTTTCACTTGAATACTGTGAATGGTCTAATGCGTGGCCTGAAAGAAGCCAACATGCATAATGTGTACACAAAGCTGCTGCACAGGCTTTGAATAAACAAAAGTAGTGTGAATGTATTGGAAAGGGAGGGAAGAAATGAAGTGTGACAGCACAGCATCAAATTTAGCATCAGAAATCTTACTGTTAATGATTGTTTGCTGACAGTGGCACGTTACCACATTTAAACGATTACAAAAAAAGCATGCTGTGTTAGGAATACATGTCAGAATTAAAACTGGGTTCTGATTGCCGAAAACTACTGTCAACACTGTGAATTAGATACATATGCAGCAAATCTCTGAATCTTTGCTCAATCTTATCCACATTAAGTCGATAATCTTACATTTACCGTTGATTTATAGCAGAGTAGAAGGATTTTTTGTCAAATGCATTTTAGAACTTTTATATTTGTGTACCTTTAGTTGATATTGTTTCAGTCATAACAATAAGGAGCAAAATTAATAATCAAATAAAAAGTCACTACAAATCCCTCATACATACCGAATGAAAACTGAGTAGATGCACATTGTCATGAAACCATGTAGACAATGATTTATTTGCAAACCAGTTGCAATGTTACAGGGCAATTTTCTATGCCAGACTGGGAGAGACATGTTCAGATTTGTTGATAAATCAGTCCCTGGTCTTGATGACTAAACACCCAAGGTAAACATTTTCTGTCATATAGCATCTGATAAGGTGAAGCTGATATTGATCCTCCAAACCTGACAAGAAGTAATTCCCATTGCACATGCTTTCCTGGAAGCAGGTTTTTATTTCCATCCAGGGACAAGGACTGCTAAACCCACTGACTTTACTGACAAAATATTTTACTGGATTTCACTAGCATTAATGAACATTTAAAATATATGGTATTTTAACACATCAAGACCCCAGGTTCAACTTTGCTTTCTTCTCTCACCCAGAATTGGAAAAGGTTATCAATTTGCTTTCAACTTCCATCCTGCTGTCATCTCCACCTGTCCATCTCTGACTCTTCCCTTCCCTTCCTCGACACTTCTGTTTCCATTTGTGGGGATGGGCTGCCCACCGATATTTATTACAATCCCACTGACTCCCACAGTTACCTGGACTATACATCCCCACACCCTGGTTCCTATGATGACTCCATTCCATTCTCCCAGTTTCTCTATCTCCGTTGCATCTCTTCTGATGATGCCACCTTCTTAGAAATGTCCACGTTTTTCCTCAGTGGAGGATTCCCGACCATTATGGATGACAGGGACCTAGCTGTGTCTGATCTATTTCCTGCACTTCACAATAATCATTGTGTCCTCCGGTCCTCACCTTCCATTCCACCAGCCTCCACATCCAAAGTATCATAAGCTGCCATTTTGACCACCACCAGACACTTAGTTCCCTCCCCCTCTTGTCAGCATTCCGCAATGACCACTCCCTGGTGGGCACCCTGGTCCATTCCTCCTCCATTCCCAACACTGCACCACCCTGTCACCTTTCCATGCAATATTAGAGGTGTATCGCTGGCTTGTTTACTTCCTCCCTTCTCACTATCAAAGGCTGTGCCTTGCATGTGAAGCAGCAATCTACCTGCACTTCATTCAGTCTAGTCTACTATATTCACTGCTCAGAATGTAGGCACCTATACATTGGGGCAATGAAGTGTTGACTGGGTAACTGCTTTGCAAAACATTTATGCCCTGTCCATAAGAATGATTCCAAGCTACTAGTTACCTGCCACTTCGACACACCAAGGTACTCCCATGTCAACATTTCTCTCAGGCTTGCTGCAGTGCTCCACTGAAGCTCAACCCAAGCTGCAGGAACGATACCTTATCCTCTGCCTGGGTATCCTATAGCCCTCAGGACTCAACAATGTGTTTAACAATTTCAGAGCATGAACACCCTCCTCTATGTTCATTACCTACCTCCACATGCCAGGTCCTGTTCTGTGTGAATTGCTCCCGTGCAACTATCCACACTTCTTGTGGTTGGTTGGCTCGCTGAGCTGGTTCGTTGTTCTGCAGACCTTTTCTTACCATGCTGGGTAACATCATCAGTGTAGCCTCCGATGAAGCGCCGTTGTGTTTTCCCGCCTGGTTTTTAAACTCTGGAGTCCGTTGAGCTGAATTACCTCACTGTCGGTCTTCCTTCGCAATGAATTGTATATGGGGTCTAGTTCTATGTGTTTGTTGATGGCTTTCTTCGTGGAGTACGAGGCTTCTAGGAATTCCCGTGCCTGTCTCTGCTTGGCTTGTCCCAGCATTTGTCCCAGCAAAGCAGAGACAGGCATGGGAGTTCCTAGAAGCCTGGTTCTCTTCTAAGAAAGCCATCAATCAACACATAGAACTCGACCCCATATACACTCCATTGCGAAGGAAAACCGAAAGTGAGGTAATTCAGCTCAACGGACTTCAGAGTTTAAAAATCAGGCGGGAAAACACAACGGCGCTTCATCGGAGGCTGCACTGATGATGTTACCCAGCAGGGTAATGAAACGTCTGTGAAACAACAAACCAGCTCGGCGAGACAACCAACCTCAACATCCACAAACCGAGCTACAAATCTACTCTAAAACCTTAGATTCAAACTTCTTGTTAGCGTCCACTCTGAATCTATCAACCTCTTGGCTTATCATCAATGATCTCTCTGTTTGCCTCCTCTCTCTCCCTCTCTCTTTCTCTGTCTTGGCACCAAATCTATGCCTTCTATTCATCCTTCTCCTCAACCCCAGCCCCTGCCATCAGCATAAAAACCAACATTTCCCAACTGCTTTCAGTTCTGACAAAGTGTCCCCAGACTTGAAACATTAACTTTGTTTCTCTCTTGACAGAACCTGTTATGTTTCTCCAGCACTTTCTGTTTTTGTTTCAAATTTACAACATCTGCAGTTCTTTATTTTACTTTTATTTAGTTCTGTATTTATTATAACTTAAACTTCCAGTGCCCTTAATCCATGAAAAGTAACTATCTTAGTATGCAGGGAAGTTATTTTTCATCATCTTAATGATTTTCAGGCATGCCGTGACATTGAAATCTATTTCTGTCGTCTTCACCTCCGTGCCCATTTCTTTGGACAAGAGTCCTTTCCCCATACCACTGACCCCTTCGCCCATCTCCAACACTCTCACTTCACCTGTAACCCTTCCTCTGGCCTTTTATCTGCACTTGGCCTGTTCATCGAGAACTGTCAATGTGACATTGGTTGCCTTAATTTCTCTACCCCCCGATTCATTCCAACCTATCTCCCCATTAACTGACTCTACTCAGTGCTCTCAGATCCAACCCTGACTTTGTAATTAAGCTTGATGGTAAGGATGGTGCAGTTGTTGTCTGGCAGACTGACCTTAACATTGCAGAGGTGAGCACCAGCTCTCAGATATCTCTTTCTCCTTCCCCCGGACTATGACCCCACCATGGAATATCAGGCTACTGTGTCCACCACACTCACTAACCTCATTTTATCCATTGATCTCCCCCCAACCCCCCACACTGCCTCCAAGCTCATAGTCTCTCAACCTTCCACAGCCCACTTCTACCTCCTTCCCACAATCCACAAACATGACTGCTTGGGCAGGCCCATAGTTTCTGCCTGCTCCTGTCCCACAGAACTCATCTCGATTCATTTCTATGTCCCCTTGTCCTTTCCCTTCTCACTCATATCTGTGATTCTTCTGATGCTTTATTCAGTTTCAGAATTTCCAGTGTGCAGCTTCAGCTGCCTCCTCTTTACCATGGACCTGCAATCCCTTTACACGTCCATCCCCAATCAGAATGGTCTCAGGACTCTCCACTTCTTCATGGGAAAAAAGGTCTGAACCATTCCCACGCACCACCACCCTCCTCTGCCTGGTCGAGCTCGTCCTCACTCTGAACAACTTCTCTTTTAACTCCTCTCACTTTATTCAGATCCAAAAGGTGGCCATGGGTACCCACATGGGCCCCACTTATGCCTGTCTCTTTGTGGGGTATGTGAAACATTCCTTGTTACAGTCCTATTCCAGATCTTTCTCCAGTATATCGATGATATCATTGATGCTGCTCCCCTCTCTTGTCCAAAATTGGAAAAGTTTATTGATTTCACTTCCAATTTCCACCCTGATCTGACCTTCATCTGGTCCATCTCTGACTCCTCCATTCCCTTCCTTGACATCTCTGTTTCCATCTCTGGTGATAGTTTGGCAACGAATATTCACTATAAGCCAAATGACTCCCACAGTTACCTTAACTATACATCCTGATACCCTGCTTCCTGTAAAGACTCTACTCCATTCTGCCAGTCTCTTCATCTCTGTCGCATCTGTTCTGATGATGCCAACTTTAAAAAGGGAGCCTCTGAAATGTCCACCGTCTTCCTCAACCAAGGATTCCCCAGCACCGTAGTTGACAAGGCCCTCAGCCAGGTCTGACCCATCTCCTGCATTTCCGCCCTCACCCCTTCTCTTCCCTCCCACATGAGTGATAAGGTCACCCACCTTCCCACCAGCATCCACATTCAGAGGATCATTAGCCACCATTTCTGCCACCTCCAGTGGGATGCTGCCACCAGATACATACTCCCCTCCCCTCCATTGTCAGCCTTCCGCAAGGATCGTTCCCTCCAGGACACTCTGGTCTACTCCTCCTTCACTCCCAATATCCCCCCCACAGCTCCACGGCACCTTACGCTAACAACCGCAGAAGGTATAGCACCTGCCCATCTACCTCCTCCGTCCCCAGTATCCAAGGGCCCAACATACCTTCCAGGTGAAGCAACACTTCACTGAACCTAGTCTCATGCATTTTCTGTTCACAATGTGGTCTCCTCTGCTTTGGGGAAACAAAGCGTAGATTCACAAAACACCTACATTCTGTCCGCAAAAAAGAGCTTCAAATTGCCTACCACTTCAGCACACCATCCTGTTCCCTGGCCAACATCTCGCAGTGCTCCAGCAAAACTCAGCGCAAGCTGAAAGAACAGCACCTCATTTTTCACTTGGTAACTCTACAGCCTTCTGGACTCAGTAGCAAGTTCAAGAATTTTAGGCCTTTAGGCAGTTTCTCACATGATCTTACACTAATGCCCACACACCAGGCCTTGTGATCTGCTATGCATAGCATGATCTGCTATTACACATAACTCATTGCTGGCCACTTATAGTTCCAATTAGCAGCCATTCATTCTCCCAGGCTGACCGTTATCCACTTCTTTGTCTGTTCAACTGTTATTCTCTCGCATTGGGCTCTACTTCCACCTACTGTTTACTCCCACCCTATCTTTACATAAGAAACAACTTTTTCCTAGTTATCATCAGTTCTGAAGAATGGTCCCTGGCTCCAAAACATCAACTCTGATTTCTCTTCACACATGCTGTCAGACCTGCTGAATGTTTTCCAGCAATCTTTGTTTTGTTTGTGAACGGAGACCCCTTGCGGTAGGTAGCTTCAAGCTTCCCAGCC